AACACATTGAGTCGCACAATGAGTCAAGTAACACCAAGTCTTGGGTCAACCTTAAGGAAACTATAAACATGAGCAAAGTCCTATAGTCTAAAATATAGATGCAGGTACACTAAGTCCCTAGCGGACGAACAACCTTTACAAAAGATTTGAGGCAATCTGATTGAGCGCAAATGAGCGAAAAAGGCGTGAGCAAACAACAAAGAAGCCGAACGAGCAGAATGAGTTTAAAAACTCTGACCTTAATTCCAGCGCACCGCGATACACCCTGACACGGCGCGGCGTAAAGATCTTGATTTGATAAGAGATCGGCCCGATAACGATCACATTTGAGCGGTGATCGGCCCGATTACGATCACATTGAGTGGTGCTTGGCTCGATTACGATCACATTTGAGAAGTGGTTGACCCGATCATGATCACAATTGCTAAAAATGGTTCGATAGGACTCTCCAAGCGAGATATAACCATTGATGGAAGATCTACAAAAAATTATTTGAGCTCGGTAAAATCTTGAGGAGTAAGGTTTTACGGTAGATTTTCCATGGTGTGAAGAAGAGAGGATTTGAGAAGACGGCTCGAGGCGTAGTGGTCTTTAACAACGTTCCCTAAAATGTGGAAGTTGTCACCTTGATTTGAGAAGACGGCTCGAGGCGTAGTGGTCTTCGATGGCGCTCCCTGAGAATGTGGAGGTTGTCAAAACAAAACAACTTGATTGACTGTGTTGCAAGTTTCTCGAGGCATAGACAAGTCCCCCCAAGGCGTGGAAATTTGTAGATCATTGCGCACTTCTCAAGGCATGGAAGACGGCGGATGTATCACAAGGCGTGGATGCTTAGTGTTTTTCCCGGAGTATGGAATTTCACTTGTGAATTTCTCGAAGCGAAGGAGTTCACGATAAGGCTCTCGACGCGTAGGAATCTACGACACGTGGCCCGAAGCGTGGAAACTTGTCACCTTGTGAGTTGCTTGAAGCGTATTGATTCGCGATGGGGGAAGCGTGGAATCTATCTCATATCAGTCTTTTTGAGGTGTGGAAGATTATCATCTAAAGATTCACTCGAGGCGTAGTGGTTCGCGGTAAAATTCCCAAGGTGTGGAAAATTATCATTCGGTGGATTTCTCAAGGCGTGGAAAGCTGCCAAAAGTGTTTGCTACCGATATGTTGGTGTCAGATACGTGTTTCTTAACTCCTTTATTTGTAGAATTAACATTTTCTACAGGTAACAGCGTTAAAAAGGATGATTTAGGATCGGCGAACGTTTTGAATCATTCTCCGTCCCTTTCGATCTACTTTGACTTTTGTTTTCGAAACTTACGTTTCTCCAAACTCAGTCAAAGTGGGGGCTTCTGTAGACACCTGATTGTGTCTCCCCAAAAACCAAACCCAGTGATGAGTACCTTTCACGTCTTTGATTATCGAGTTAGGTGAAGTGTTAAAGAGTCTCGTGAAGTTCCCTTTAGACTTGACCATATTTCTAACCTTTCCTTAAATGTTTTAATCCAAATCATTTATTTCGTGCATTTAAACCCAAAACTCAATTATCTCGTGTCCTTAAAATCATTCATTTCGTAACCTCTTTATAAAAACGTCCAAACCAGTTTATTTTGGTTTATAATCTGGGTCTAATAATTGTGTAGTTGGATGGGGATTGAAAAGATTCCAACGATATATTATAAGCCCGAATCCGAGTTATAACGAAGAAGTTATGGCTAAAATACTAAACTGGGCCCAAACCGAGCCTTACCTACGACCCAATGACCATGTGGAGGGTCCATTAACCTTAACTTCATTTCTAAATCCCTTAGGATTTATTATTGGATTCTAGAATTCTCAAGAAGGTTATAATTTATCCTGTTTTTAAAAAAGTAAAATTTAAGAATTTTATATCAGATAAAACACTTGTTTTTGAATGATTTTAATTCCGATAAAATTAGAATTCGTACGGAAACACGATTAACCCAATTTGATTGGAATCCGGATTCCGTACGACTTTTATCTTCCAAAAAATATCGCGTCGCGACGGAAACCTGTTTTACTCCGAGTCGGATTCTGACTCTCTTCTGATCTTTCGACCCTTTTTTTTCTTATAAATAGATGTCTTTTTACCCCATTTTCAATCATCAACAAGCTGGATCACCAACAATCATCATCTTAATCCCTCTCTAAGCTATAAAGCTTTTTTTTCTCTCTCTTTCTCTCTCTTTTTCTTAGCCTTAACCTAAACACATCACATATCATACGTCCTTTGCGAGACTTGAATACTCCAAGCCCTTCTCGTAGTTGCCTTCGACCTCGACGTGGAAGGTAGATAGTTCTGAGGGTTTGGTCCATAATCTATATTTCAATTATTATTATTTGATTTATTTGTTTAATTTAATCTTTCTTGAAGTTACTAACGTGTGTATTGTTTTGATAGAAAGAAATACGAGACATCAAAGTGAGTAGATCTACTATCCTTATTCCTCACTTTTGATATAGAAATCATGCTTAGAATATTATTTTAATTCCTAGTATCATGTTAGGATGCTTTTATGATTTCTAGTATCATGTTTAGGATGTTAATTAATATTTCTATATCATGTTTTATGGTATCATGTTTAGGCTATTGCTTTAATTTTTTATTTAGTGACATGCTAAGGTTTGTTATTAATCCGTTTAGTATCAAACCTAGGATCTTGCTATTAATCATGTTTTGATGATGTTATTATGATGATGATTGTTGTATAAATTTATATGTTGCTTGATTATTCATGATTTATTGCTATTGCTTGATCACGCCGTTTCTTGCAGGTTTAAAGGGAATTTGTACTTGAAATCATGCCTAATAAGATAATTAATAATCTGATTTTAGGCTAATATGATTTTAATTCAAGTGATCGCCAATAATAGATTTATTTGTGCATTAATAATCAACCAACGTAGATTAAACAGGTTTAGGGCCAACTTGTTGGATGTATGTTGATCGGAAAGTGCACATGAATATCATAAGAATTAAGTAGAGGCGGGTTCAATCTCTTTTAGGTTGGATTCCTACCATCATTTCCGAATATTCAGTCATGGTTCCGGACCACTATGGAGTTAGCGATCTCCGTGATCGTGAATGGGGTGTAACCTTCACACCCGTGAACGGTTTATAAGTTCCTAAAACTTGTGGGCGACTCTTTTATCTCTAGCTTCTTTCCCTTTGGACGCCACCATGCTTAAATGCATGATCATAGTGGGGCTTAAAGTTGATGTTTGAAATATCCTCTACATTTACATTATGTTATAGTGTTAAATTTGGTTAGTATTATTTGAAATAGGGTTTTGCTTCGTACATTTGGAGGAAAGTCGTAAAAATTAGTTGAAATTGTGTTTTTATTTGGTAATTTGGTTAGTATTACTTGAAATTGGGTTGTTGCAAGTTGTAACTGTGGTAATGTTGTTGATTTAATGATTTTTATTGGTTTATTGGTTAGTATTATTTGTTATTGATTTGTTAATTGCATGCATAGTCTCTTGGTTTGTTAAGTTCATACTTTGTGCTTGTGTTAGTTGTTAATTACACAATTGCAGGTTGCAGAACTATCTTCATATAATTGTTCGAAGTGTTGGATTTATTCCTGTATAATTACACAGCTGCTGGTCTGTTAATTAAGTGAAGTTATGATTAATTTATTTCTCATTGCCTGAAAATAAATTGACGCCGGGTCTGTTAAGTAACTCTCTATGATCATGGCATGCATGTGTGCTATTTTGTTAGAATGTAGTAGAAACCGTAGGGAAAGAAAATAATGAGAGGATAGAAGATGTCTGAAAATAATGAAAAAAATAATCTTTTGGTATAACTGGGGATAAGATTTTCTGAGAAAATCATGGCTTTAGAGAGTTAATTTGGAGGGGTAGACAAGAGAATGGGACATATTTCGCAATCGCTTTCTGTTACAAAAATATATATATATTGATTTTGGAGTATCTTGTGTAAACTTGTATTAAGCAGGTTCCTGATGGTTCTTGCATTTTGCAACAAGTGTCTTGTCATGTGTTTTAGGATTGTTTGTTATTGTCTTTTTAGATCATCTATGACTCCTTTGTTGTGGGAAAATGAAGATTCTCATTAATATCTGACAGTGATTAAAGTAATGAAATGTTATTCCTGGAAATTCCTACAAAAATGCTGAACTTCATATTTGCTTTCTGTCATTTTTGCTTTCTGTATATAGTTTTTCTATTTCCATTAGTCACTTATGTAATTAATTGTTAGACATTGGTACATGTATTTTGTTTGTTAATAGGGTTAATATTTTAATTTGTTAGTGGTTTTATTTGACGGCTCACAAGTTGGGATAGTTATGTAGAGGGTTGAGTAATTTAGGAAGGGGGTGTGATCTGGCTGAGATGGATCTGGTTGAAATTGACTTTGATTGTAATGAAGATGAGTATATGGATATAGTGAACTTGGACAATATTTCCCTTACACAAATAATGCAGAATCATGATATAAGAGATACACCAATGCAGACCTCTTCCCCACTATGCAGACCATCAAAACAACTGTTTCAACAAATAACGTCACTATTATGAGCTCTATTGAACCTCCTAAAGTTGGGATGGTCTTCAAAGGTTAGGAGAAAATTGAGGTGTACTACAAATCTTATGCAGAGCAATGTGGGTTTGGAGTTAGCGGGGTTCAAAGTGCATTTACCGGTAAGAAAGAGAGAAGGGGAATGACGTGGAAGTGTGAATGTTGGGGTGCACCAAATATGAGGGCGAAGCGGGAGGAAAAGAAAAGGGCTAAGTTAATGGAAGTTGGAGGATGTGTTGGGAATTCGAATGGTGATATAGGGGAGGATGAGCTTGCGCGGGGCAAAAGAAAATCAAAAAAATGTGAGTGTTAAGCTAGGATTTATGGTAGTGTTAATGGTGAAGGGCTTTGGGTTTTGATAACGGTGGAGTAGGAGCATACTCATACTTTGAACCCAGGTATGGCTAAGTTAGTTAAAAAGTATCGTATAAAGAAGATGGCGTCGACCGTTCGTAAGAGATTGCTTAATTATTTTGAGATCGGAGTACCGGTGCCACAAATCTGTGGATATTTGGGGACGGAGAATGAAAACTTGCCTAATGTAAAGGATATGCAGCATGAGGTCTATAAGGAAAGACGCTTGAAGATGGAAGGTGGAGATGCAAAAGCCATAGGTTGGATGACTACATGCAAGCTAACAACCAGAAATTTTTCCATGCCCATAGGTTGGATGAAGAAGGTCATTTGAAGGATGTACTTTGGGTTGATGCGAGGTGTAGCCTTTGAAGATTTTGGAGATGTCGTATGTTTCGATGCGACATATCTCATTAATGAGTATGAGCTCCTGTTCACTAATTTTGTAGGAGTAAATCATCATGGTCAATCACCGTTGTTACGGTGTGCCCTTGTTTCACGCGAAGATTGTGACACATTTCGTTGCATTTTCCGACAGTGGTTGTCTTGTATGGGCAACAAAGCTCCCCTTGCCATCCTAACCGATCAAGCACCGGCAATGAGGAAGCCATTAGCTGAAGTTATGCCCAACACACGACATCGATGGTGCATATGGCATATCTTGAAGAAATTTCCCAAAAAACTTGGGAAGTGTGCTTTGTAAGTTGTTTACTGGTTACTAGTTTGCTTTAATTTTTCCTACTGTCATTTTTTTTCAAAGTACAATTTTTTATGGTAATGGTGTCTGCCTGATATATATATATGTCATAGTGTCTATCTGATATATTATGTACAAAGTTAAAACTTAAATTATGTATGTCATGTGTTCTGTCTGGTATATTTTTTACCAAGTAATATTGTAAGTGGTTTTTAAAATTCATGTCATTGGTTTCTCTTTCCCCATGAATGTACCTGGTAGATGTGTTTAAGTTTTTTTCCTTGGTTAGGTATAACGACTTCAAGAATCCTTTGAAGAACGTGATATACGACAACTTTACTATCGATGAATTCCAAAGACGGTGATGTGAAGCAATGAAGTTGTATAAGTTAGAGGATAATGAATGGCTACAAGAGTTTTTTGTGGAGAGGCACATGTGGGTGTCGGCATACATGAAAGAGTACTTTTGGGCGGGGATGGAATCAACGCAGAGGGTGGAGAGCATAAACATGTTCTTCGATGGTTTTGTTAATAGGCACACTAAGCTTCATGAATTTCCTGAAAAATATCGCCAAGCAATGAAAAAGAGGGTCACTGATGAGACAGATGCAGACGATAGGGACTCCAAATACATTAGGCGACTAGTTAGTGGATTCGAAGTCGAGAGATATTTTCAAAAAATTTACACTGATGTGAAATTTCAAGAAGTCCAAAAAGAATGTGCTAGGATGTTGTACGTCATTCCAAAGTTGGAGGAAATTGTAAGGGAAGAAGCAATTCAGTACTTGCTCGAAGATCAAGTTTGGATTGTAAAAAGTGGAACAAATGAAGATAAACTGATTGACCTTAAAAGGTTTTACTCAGTTATGTTTAATCATGTCACAAAAGACAGTAGTTGTGACTGTCGCAAGTTTGAGAAGGATGCATTCTGTGCAGGCACATCATAAGAGTTTGGGATCAAAATATGGTGAAAGATATCCCCCCAAATATGTACTCGATCGGTGGCGGAAAGATGTGGTTAGGAGGCACACCCGTGTAAAAGTCTCCTATCATGATCCGACACAAACAAAGGAACGCAAACGATACAACACCTTGATTCCTGATCTTGAGTCCTTGTGTGACGAAGCATCATCAATAGATGATGATACATTTGAGGCTATCTGTGAAGCAATTTCGAAGCTCCATGCAGACGTGAAAGAACGGCGTGCAAAACTGATGGAAAATTTAGTATTACCGAGTTTTGAAATTGGTTCATCAACTCCACAACCAGCCAGCACACCAATATCAACTCCTATTCCAGCAACCACCCCTATATCCACTCCTCATCAACCACCAATCACTAGACATTGGTGTCAGGACACAGATAACATCAGCGTGTAGCTCAAGACCTAACCCCATTGTTGTCATGCCACATATATCAGCAGCTGGTGGCTTAAGACCTAACCCCAATATTAGTAATGCCTCTACTTGCAACAAAATTGGAATTCAAGATCCGATAAGTAAAAAGAAGCCTCGAGGCCGACCAAAGGGGTCTAGGAACAAAAGCCTGTCTGAGTTAGGGTATAACACTAGCAAGCTTAAAACAACTAAGGTTACTCTTGTAATATTGCAACCTCCTAATTTTTATTGTAAGTGTTCTAATGTTTGATAAAATCAATTTGTGTGTTGTATACAGGGATGTGACAGTGAGGATCAACATAGTGATCCCCCTGGGTCAAGCCACCCACTGAATTTGCCAGTAAATATTTTGTCCTGTTAAGTCTATTGATGGGAGATTGTTGTGTCAAGTTAATTAAAATCTATTTTCGAAGGCAAAGCGTAAAAAGGTCAAAACCCATAAGTAGAGTTTTAGAGGCTTTCCACCGACGTTCAAGTATCGTCCGAAGAATTCAAGTCAACACAAAGGTTCAAGACTGGTCAACAGACTCCCAGCTTATTTGATCACACAAATTAAGATTCCCTTGTGACTGCATTTGTTTTTGAAAAACAATCCTTGTTATGCTTTTGCTATTTTCTGAACATGGTGTCACTTAGTGTATTGATTAAGATAATTTCTGTACTGATATGGAACCCGTGGTTCTGTTATGGGTGTACTTGGTGTAGGTGAGCTTATACCATTATCATTTACTTGTCTATGACACCTATTCTGTGTACGTTTAATGTGATCTTGTAGGCCCATAACAAATTGACCCACAGATCCATCATATATATGTAACTCATTTTCTTTCATACTTTAGGCCTTCAGATTGGTTTTTTTTTTCATAACTTGGGCCTTCAGATTGTGTTCAATATTAGAAAACTGGGTTTACTTATCTTTCTAATCCACATTTTTCATTACATTAAACTTTAAACATTTCATTTGGGCCTAAATTTACATTATACTTGTAAGTAATTTTCAATAAACTCTTAATAATTCAATTTCATTTGGGCCTAAATTTACATTATACTTATCTTTCTAATCCACATTTTAAATTACATTATACTCTTAACAATTAATTTGGGCTTAAATTTTCTTTCTAATTTTCCACCTCCCCATTGACACTATATTTTTGTTTGAATTTTATTTTAAAAGGTTTTTGCATACCCTATTTCACATATCGGTCGGTTTTACGCTCGTTTAGTCCCTTTTCACATATAAGCTACTTCTTTAAATGTAGTTTTTATTAAATTAGATTGATCCATTTTGTCATTTTTGGACTAGGCTTGACTTGTTCCTATTCTGCAATTCAAAATTATTTTAGTCTCCTTGGTCCCTATAACCGATGTGGCACTGTATTTGAACATAATCATTAACTTCTTTATATGTGGTTTGTATTATTTCCTGATTTAGGATCGACTATTTCCTATTCCAAATCAAAGTAATTTCGTGTAAGCCTCCCATGTGGCATTTTATGTCCACATAATCATGAACTTAGTTCTTAAAGCAAATCAGAAATTAATATAGCGCAAATAGTGCAATTTTTAAAAACACACAACATATATTACCACATGATACACTTACACATCCATTGGCAATCAAAGTTGCCTTAATTTTTTTTTGAACGACAAAGTTGCCTTAATTAATACATCATAAGTAGCCAAATTAAACATACTAGTTCATGGGAACAGAGTTCATCATTACAAACCAAACCGAACATACATATTACAATAAAAAGCATACACATTCATAAACAAACATCCATTACAACACTCCATGCATTCTAGACTAAACCAGCCTAAGGTAACCACAACAACAACTCCACTCCTTAAGCACCTTCGATAGGGGGGGGGGCACCGTCTTCAGTAGGGGCTTCAACTAATCTAGGGGCTGGGGCAGGCTACAACATAAAAAACATAATTAATCAATTTAATTAGTATTAAATTAGGGTAACCCTTGGACATCTACTTTCTTAATTTAATAGAGTTCATACCTTCAACATTCCAAGGACCCTCAGTGGGCAATCCTCCAAGGTAGCAACAACAAACTCCCTAGAGACAACCTTCTTTTCATCCCAAATTACAGCCACACCGCCACTTAAGCCAACACTCTCGTCAAGTGACCAGTCCACCTCATAATCAAATGCCTTAACAACGTCTTCAAAAGATTTCCTACCAACTCTAGCCTCTGTAATTACAAAAATTATCGGTTTGTGAACACTCACAATGTTAAGGACATTGGTCTTAAAGGAGGGACGAGTCACACCCCGGGCATTCCAAATGACAATCAAGGAACCTAAATCAAGGCATCACTCTCTCTCTTATGCTTACATTCAAGTGCAACATCCATATACCTCATAAAAGGATCTATTTTAAACCTAAACCTAATGCCGAAATCATAATTTCATTAAGCGCACATAAAAAACTTGGAAACCATCATTGTAACAAGCTTATTATGTTTTGACTTTTCTAACAGTGAGTGGGTAAACGGGACCTTCAATAACTATGTTTGGAGTTGGATCAACAACACTTTCAAGAAAAGGAGGAATAATCTCGCTAATATTATCAGTATTGTAAAACATAACTTCGTTGTTGAGTTTCTTAAATTCCTCAACAACGTTCACAATACCAATAAGATAAACTAAATTAGGTAGATGGGAAATAAGATTACCTCCGGGGCCTATCATGACCATTCCTTACAATTTTTACTCCCAAGGGCTTTCTGGACTACAAATAATGTCCGAATGCAGTGATCACTCAGAATTTAGAGATAACCGTTCCCAGGTTTGGGTGCAAAGTACATGAACTTGTTGAAATTGATATCTGGTTTTCCGGTTGTGTTTGGTTCACGGAAAATAACTTTATTTGGTGTGGTCACAGCGTAGCTTTCAGGAGGGTACACTGGGTTTTCGGGGTCAAATGTTGAGTTTTCCATTTTTGAGTTTGATTTGGAAACAGGGGAAATCTTGAAAAGGGAGATGCAATGCAAAGGAATAAGGGTGGGTCGTGCATGTGCCTTTTTATAATGGAAAATAAACAACGGACAGGTATGCATTAAATGATCCTAAAAGGACTGACATGTGCACGTTATAGGTTATGAAAAATTTAGCAATAGAATAATGAATTTAGCCATGTAAAAGAAGTACTAGTGCCAACTTACAAATTTAGTGAATATATAAATGCTAACATTAACATATACTAATAGTTGATAATATTTATTAGCAAATATACGTATGTTGGGTTTTACGGTGCGCGAGCACCATGCGGAACCAAAACCCGGCCCGGACCACATGCATAATTATTACAACTAACTAATAAACATGCAATTAATAAAGCAATAAACACATAAGAGAGAGAGAGAAGGGAAAATACCATCTTACCCTCGAAGCGTGCTTCACCCGAGCACGAGCACGACCCTCGGAAAGCTCTAGACAAGCACGCGCGAATCCTCCTACTTCGCACACCCACGCGCCCGTACAAGGTTCCTATCTCGTAGCTTAGACGAGACCGAACCAAGCTTTTAAAGTTTTACGAACTTAAAGGTTTTCTCATGCTTATGGGAGATGCCTTATTAAGTTCTACACAAAGTGTAAATTCCCAACTCCTAAGGTTGGTATTTATAGGTAAAGCATTCCCAAAAACCTCAATCATCTTTCTATGTGGGAGAGTTGGTAAAGTGAGAAAATAAGCAATTAATTTAATTCTAAATCAAATTAATTAAGCAAAGCAATAATCAAACAACAAGTGTCAACATGAGGGAGGGAGTAGGTGAGGACCACAAGGAGGACCACATGGCCTCCTTGCTCCCCAAGAATACCTAACTCCCATAAACCGGGCCAACCATGTGCGGCACTGCCTTGGCCACCAAGGCTGCCGCGCTGGCGCCTGATGCCTTGGCTGGGCCGCCGTGTTGGCCCATGGCGCACCAGCCCACACAAGCAGGCCTCGC